AATATATATATATATATATATATATATATATATATATATATATATATATATATATATATAATAAAATTGATTGTAAATGAATGCCTCAAATTAGGTCTCTGTCTCTCTAAGAAACGTTTGCTTTTTCTGATGCTCCACCTTCAGGAAGTCATCACAACACCACTCCGCTATTAACCATTTAACAACATTTTTTTCACCAGTGTTTCACTCAGAAGTAGCTTGCATATTGAGATAAGCAGATTTGAAATTCCATCAAGTGTTTGCTAACTGCTGGCGGCTAGTCTGAAGGAGCTGAGTGGGAGAGTCGCAGGAGAGGGGAGCTCTGTAATGCGGAAACTTGGAACAATGGAATCTGCATCTCCAAGGGGGAGCTTCATCCTCGAAGTCGGTGCTAGATAAGAAATGGGATTCACCGGCAGTAATAGTGAAAAATATCTCTCTTTTTTTAAGAAAAGGCAAAGATCAGTCAGAGTTTTGTTGCCTACAGCAAGCAAAATCATGTTTAGCCGACTGTCTGTGTCCCATGAAGGCAGAAGAGAGAGACAAGGTTCTTACTTATTATTCTAGGTGTACCTTGAGATGAATAAATGTTTATTTATGACCAATTTGAGACTTGAAACCAAATCTGCCTGGTATTGACAAGGACTAGACTGCTTGAGTGATTAACTGCAATGTTTAGATAGAAATGGTCAGGGTCAGTTCTGTGTCCAGTGGCGCAAAGCGAAATGCATCGGAGACCTTACCGCAGTCGGCAAATATTTTTTTTGGAAAGAGTGACATGTTTTTGCGTGGGTGTCAGCTATCTACTGTTTATTGTTCCACAGTTTTGGAGTGTTTGCCTCCAGCTGACTGATATATGCCTCTTTACTTCCTGTTGCTCCTGAACGGACCAATGAAAGCCAACATGGCCAAGCAGGAAATACCGCCGGTCGCTGACTGAAGGGGATGTCACATCACTGTCAGGTCAGCATGGACACTTTCCATGATTCTTATTATGGTCTGCTGAAAAGCAAAATTGCTCCCCCTGCTCAAAGATTCACAAGTTGAAAGGACAGAATTCCATATTTTCTTGCAACCTGCGCCACTCAGAAAGTCAGCGGGTTTATAACAACTGAACTTCAAAGATTCACTCGCCCAAAGGAGAATATTATTACGGCGAAACAGGAAGGGATTCTTAACTCTAATAATGTGGAGATGCCAAACTCCAAGAGCTGCTTTATCCAGCTGTGAGAAAGGTTAGAGCTTCCATTTAAATAAACCTTTTGCTTGGAGGAGGGATGACTGTCTGACTCAGTGTGAATGAAGACCGTTTAACCGTCTTATGTGGCCGTCCTTGTGACACATTTTTGACAAAAACACTTTGAAGACAGAGAAGTAATGAGGACACAAAATGATCTGCAGCTAGACCAAAAACACTTATTTATGAGAGCGAAGGCAAGGCAAGAAAAAAACCTGAAATAAGGTCCAGATGTTGAGGAGGTGAAAAGCGAGGCGACATAGGAGGAAGTGGGAGAGGGAGAGAATGAGCTGCAGTTTATGTCGAAAAGAAGAGGGATGACCGGTCCAAGGCCAAACTCCTTGCTGCCTTGTCCAAACAGTTTACACTGGGCATCCCCAATCTAGACACACACACACACACAAGCATGCAAACAAACACACAAACACACAGAGTGCCCTGAATCCATGAAGCTTTCACAGGCACACCCATGCAGTGACAAAACATGTTGGCAAAGATGTAAAATAAAAATAAAAAAACAGAACGTTATGCAAGACATCTCATTTATTTGCGCTTCATTATGCAAACAGAAATTTAATTTACAAAGACATTGAATTGCACAGACTTTAATTACTAAAGGCCGCCCTTACAATCCCTCTTGTGGAGAAAAATATTACTGCACCATGCGCATGTTAAAATGCTGGGCTTTTTTGAAGGAAGGCCTGTGGATTAATAAACAAGGACATCTGAAATAATGTCTTAATGACTAAAAGGGCTTTTTTTCCCACAATGTTGTATTTTTGAGATGTACCTGCATGTATTCAGTTAAGCTCAAAAGTCTTCATACTGCTGGCTACTCCTATTTGGATCTTAAATTATTTTCTTTGATGAGCTGCAACTTCTCACATCACACCAATCATTAGAGTTGATGACTTGGGCCGGGGCTGTCCAAGATGGGACGTGACAACTTGTCGGTAAAATTATATTATTATTTTATACCTAAATCAATTTTCCAGGGGTATAAATAAGAAGTGAAGGCTAAATAAATGTCAGTATCTCATGTAGTAAATTATATATGGAATATTTGTTTATTCATAGGCCACACAGGTATACACACATATACTGTATATTATTTCATAGAAATCAAAAAATATATAAAAATAACAGACTTAAAACAGTTTATGAATTGTAACAAATAAAAATAGCACACCGCAAATAAAAAGAAATTAAGCGTGTTGGTTTTCCTGGTGCATTTGGAACTGAGAATTTAGAATAATTGCTTTTAAATTATGAGAATCTCTATTCAATTCATCCACAATGTATGTAAGAAAAACATATGACATACAAAGTCTTATCAGTTAGATATGAATTTATTAAAATTTTTCTTTAAAAAGAAAATATAACATCTAACCTGCATAAGAACAATTTCAGTTGCCCCCTACAGACAAATGTTGGCTTATTCTCAGTCAACTCATTTTAAAGGAACCTTAACTAATGGATCTTGACAAGTGGTTTTGCAGAACAATCACTAAACAAGTATTGAGACATTTTATGAACAAAACTCACTGAATTTTGTTTTTCTTGCGAACTTGAAAGACCATCAAAAACCAACAATGAAAACAAAAAAACCTCACAAAAATGCCTCAAACTGGAATAAAAACGTATATACTTTAACGATCAGTGTCGATTAAAAGTGATTGTGTGCCACTGTGGAATAAACTGTTTCTTTCGTGTTTTTAAATGATGTTCTCGACCTACTGCCCTTTGTCTTTTAAATGACATCAGTCTGTTTCATGCTTCAAAATTCAGAACAAAGAGGAAAAAAACCTGTTAAAAACCAAACTGATAAAAAAACAAGATTTAAACAAGTCTTGTTGAAATTATTAAAATGGCCATACTTTTGTGATTCAAGTCTTTATAGTACATGACAAGGGACTACAACTAAGGACATGGTATTAGATAAGAACTATTAAAAAAACACAAACATACATTTCCCAAAAGCTGTAAAAAAAAACACTAACAAAAAAAAGGTTAATTCAGCTGCATTCAAACCTTGACTTTTTTTTTTATCCAATGCAGATAACCTCCTAGCTTTTTTAAAATAATTAATAGAAATTGACTAACTAAATTGAGAATAATCACATTAGTATAAATATAAATCCGAAAGTATTGGAGTGTTGTTTCTATTAATACTTTTTCAAATGATCTGTGGAGTACTTGATGAAATGAGACTAGACGCATGCTGCTGGTGTAACACATGGGGGTTACCATCCCCAGTCTGACTGGTCTGAGTCCCTCCTGACACTGCACAGTGCTCAGATATCCTCAGGTAGCTCTTGGTGTAGAAGAGAGACGCTGAAACATCAGTCATTCAAGCTTATAATGATCAAAGCACCAAGTTATAGGATCCAGAGAAAAACCTTTCTTAAAAATTAGATACACACATGTAGAAATAAGTTGCAAGCTGAAAAATATCAGTCGCATCAGAAAGGAAGGCTTGGCTAATATGCTAACTTTAGCCTATGAGCATGGCTCCTTAAGAAAACCTTGTCAACAGGAGCAAATATCAGATTGTAGCAGTAGAATGTCTGGGCAAAGAAACAAATGATAAAGATAGACACAATCTGACGACGTTTAATCAGAGCATTAGAGGGAGTTTTCCAAATCATGAAACCACTGTGGAGTAGCTCAGTTTATCCTGTAAATTGTCACTGGGAGGAATGGTAGTTTTGTGTTTTGTCATCAGAAAAAATGCATGCAGATGCTGCTGCATCGTCCTCCAATCAGACTGGTCTTTTTGTCTGTGATCTGCTCTGTAACATACACATGCAGATGGGTGTGGACATCTGGTGCACATGTACTCTAATGTAACCCTGTATCTGTTCTCTATCTCAGAAATAACTCCAATCCTGGGAGGTTTAGATGTCCCACTACTACAACACATTTAAAAAAAAAAGAAGTCATGAACCATCTCTTAAGCTTTACACCCAGTTGTGCAACTGGCTGCTAATATGCAATTAATTCAAATCAGGTGGTTCAAGCAGAGAGACATTTTCTTATTTTAATATTTATCCTATATAAGGCTGGTTCATCTATGATTTCAGGCTCAAAAATGAAAAAAACATCAAACAAAATAGAATGAATAAAACATAGTTTGTCATTAAAACAGGATATGGATTAAAGATATGATGCCCCCAGAACAAAAATAGGACTAGCAAAGTCAACATTATCAAGTGTTACGTTTATCCTTGTTCTCAGTGAGAAATTCTGACTACAATCCCAGTTTCCTTGATGCTTTCCCTTATGCAAGAATCACTTAAATAAAAAATTATGAGTCAGCTTCAGGCGCTGCATTTGCACTCAGGCTGTTTAGATGCATTCGCTCCAGTATCCGGTGTATGCTGCTAAAGCTCGGCCTGTCTGATGGGTGTGTGCTCCAGCACAGACGCATCAGATTATACAGCTCCAGGGGACAGTCCTCAGGACAGGAAAGGATGTGACCATCTCTCACGTAGTAAATGACCTCCTCGTGACCCATCCCGTAATACGGCTGCATCCCGTGGGAGAAGATCTCCCATAGCACCACACCGTAGGCCCACACATCTGATTCGGTTGTATAGCGGTTGTAGAAAATCGACTCCGGGGGCATCCAGCGGATGGGGATTGCATCGTTCTCGTTGGCTTTGTAGTAATCGGCTGAATAGATGTTTCTGGAGAGGCCAAAGTCTGCAATCTTCACAATCATTTCTTCTCCAACCAGGCAGTTGCGTGTCGCCAGGTCCCGGTGGACAAACTTGCGCTCTGACAGATAGGCCATTCCCGCGGCGATCTGCTTCGAAACAGAGAGTTGCTCGGGACAGGTGAGGGACGCCGCCTCCCCGTCGGAGGAGAAGCTGCGAGCTGATAGGCTGGCCCGGCTGATGGTGCGCACAGACTGGGTCGGAGATCGGCGCCGTAGGAACTCATTGAGGTCCCCTTGGGCCATATATTCAAACAGCAGACACATGGGCTTACCCACAGCACAGACACCTGAGGAGAGAACAAACAACATCTTTATAATCACAAAATAAGCATAGCGGAACCAAATATCAACAAAATAAACTTTTAACCTAAAAAAACCACTTTGTTATATTTTTAGTATTTGGAACCTGGTATTTAAAAGGACAACATGCCAATTAATCTTTTATTTCCTGTTGTGCTGTTGAACCAGATTTGTCCTAAAGAGGGTTGAAAATACCCAACAGGGCCTTGAACTGTAGCTCTATTTTCTCTGGTCTTAAGATATTCCATAAACTAATAAAGTTTTGTCGGTTGTTGCCTTAAGTGAACTGTGTCAAGAGTATCTATGATTGATTCTGTTTCTGTTTTTGCTTTTGAAATCAAAGGCTCAATGACCTGCTGGTCGCAAAGTTATTTGAAATGCTTTCAAATGTTGTTTTAACCCACAGAGGTTTACTTTCATTTCTTGTTGAGATTCCAAACTCCTTCAGAATAAAATAATATCTGTCAGGAATCCACCGAGGAATCAGGATTAGATGAGCAATACCATGCAGTCTGAGTTTATGAAATTGTCAGTGTAAAAAGTATTTCTGCTTTTATTTTAGGCGATTGTTGCAAGTTTGATGTAGTATGAGTCATGGATAAAGATGGATGAAGTTCTCTGCATTATCTAGTTATCTAGTCAACAGAGCAACAGGAAAAGTGAAAGAATCACATTTTATTGGTTCTTCAGAGACCTACTTTTAGTTCAGAGCCAATATTGTAAACAGGCTTGAAGAAAGCTTCGCATAAACCAAACTCTTTAAAACTATAAACTACAGGAAGCCAAAAGGAGGCAGAACAGCTCTGGGCGAAAATGTGACACAAAAACAGGGTCATATAGAGGACCTCAACCTTTACTATTTCCTGTTCAGGATAGTTAAACATACTAAATCATCCTTATCTGAAATGTAGTCTTTTGTATATAAACAAAAGATTCCAAAAATCACCTCTATTATATTTAACAGTTGCCATTACATCTCAGCTTTGTTCTGATACATTATTTACTTGATTACATCTCATACCAAGGTTTACTGATTCTGTCGACAAAGCCACAATTTCCATGTGTTGTTACAGCGCGTTTGGAAAGTATCCACAGCACTTCACTTTTTTCACTTTTGTCGTGTTGCAGCTTTACTTTAAAGGTTATTACATCAATTCTTACCCTTAGCAGTTTTGGAGTTGTTGGTTTTTTTTTATTCATTAAAAATAGAAAACCAAGAACCATACTCATGTAAATGTGATTCCTTTGTTTTCTATTTTTAATAACTTACAAAGAAACCCCCCAAATATTGTTTTTGACAATTAGGTCTTGCTCTAAGAAAAATATCCCAAAGGTAAGAACACTTTTGCAAAGCAAAGTTTTTACGCTAGGGAGGGTGATGTTAGTAGACAGTAGTAATCTTGGTTGAATGTCAGTAGCTTAAATGCTTCACTCCGTAGCTAAATATATGAAACTTAAACTGCACACCTTCATGCATCAAAGCAAATAGATGCCATCATATGTCGTCTCTCTAAATTTGAGTCGTTCGTCTTATGGAGACGTATTTTTACACAACAGTTGCTGTGTATTATTAGCTGTGAGGGTAGCTAGAGGTTAAGGAAATAATCTAGTCATCCAGGATTCTAATTTCTTGCTTAATCTACAGGAGACCTATTGAACATCAGTCAGTCAAAGCTGAAGCGAAAGAACACATCAGACACCGCAGGTCTCTGACATGGGTGGGGGGGGGACGAGTGAATGTTGTTTTAAAAATATTTCACAACCAGAGGAACCGTGGAACTAACCTTCTCTGAGCAGTCAATGACCGATGGCTCTGTTTATCCTATGCAAGTACCAAAATGAGCATGCTGTGCCTCTAAATGTCTTCCTGAAAGTATGTTTGGATTTGAGCTGTTTGCCTTAGATAAGATAGACTGAATTAGTGGAGATAATGCTTAATGGAGGCCATTTGTTTTACACAGGTCAATAAAAGCACATCGGTTGTCGAGCTGCTTCATGGCAAACACGAAGCAGCTGTCTGAAGTGCATTTATGCCGAAGTACTAACAATGTGGAAAAAGTGACTTAATTCAAAAGAATCACTGTATCTGAGAGGATGCTGGAAACTAAACCAGTTTCAAGTGTTTCTAATCTTTTAGACGGTATCAAATATTAAAAAAAATAAATAAATAGGGATATGGTTTATATTATTTTACTGCCTGATTAGTATTCAAATTCAAATTTGAATTTGCATTGGTATCAAATATGTTTTCTTGTATATAATGGTTTCAAGTCTGTTCTTAAGCCAGTTAGAAAGTACAGGACTGTCTAGGTGTTTTGGCACTTTTGTGTGGTATAACTAGCCACATTTTTCAGTTCTAATTCAATTCATTTGAGAAAAGTACTAGTCCTCATAACAGAAAAATCTTTTTTCCTGAACACACAGTAGCCGTGTGTGCAGAAATGTAAGTATTTTTGTTTAACTTGTCATGTTCCCTGACCTTGTACTTGTTCTTTTATTTGCTCCATTCTTTCTGTCTCTTCTCTGTCCAACTGTTTCTGCTTCTCCGTTTCGTTATTTTTGTATTTTGTGCCGTGTTTTTACTCGAAGCATACCCGCTGCTTTAACAGATATCCAATGTAAATTCCAGCTGTGACCGCAGTCCGTTTGGAACACGCTCTTCCCATCTCACCATTTTCCACACAGACCTACTCACCCAAGAGTCGAACGATGTTTGGATGGTCGAATTCGGCCATGAGCGCCGCCTCCCTCTGGAAGTCGTTCTGCATGTCGGCTGAGGCTTCCTCTTTCAGCATCTTCACAGCCACCATGGTGAAAGGCTCTGTGGGCAGGAGGCCCGGCGCTCTGCAAGTATTATAATGCATTACAACATTCATTAATGATTCTCACAGATTGCTGCAGAATTTAGTGTTTTCTGTTTCTACAAAATAAATTACCTAACCCATGCCCATTTTGCATGTTCTGTTTTAGTTGCATAGTTGCAAAATCTGCTCTAGGCACATACACTACTCTAAAAATTAGCTTGAAAAAGCCTAATTCACTGCTTCATCAGTCCATACGTCCGTATGACTCCCTCGTTTAATAACCACACATTTTCACCTTCTTTTAATGTGCTTAAAATAAATATTTGTGAGTGCTAAAATCATACATTTAATTTAATGTATTGCAAGGATTCATGATGCTCCCCTATTTGAATTAACTCTATTTCTCATACCCGTTTTCACCAGTTGACCAGTTGATCAAATCATCAGATTGACCTGCTCATTGCACGTTTCTAATAGACCTGATCACCAGGTTTGCTCTTTCATCTGATTTATGAATCCAGATCAGAAAAGAAAAGAAGAAAAATTGTTCCAAAGAATAAAGGTAATTGCACCACTTGGTAAAATCTTCCTATGGGTAAATTACAGAATTGGAAACACATTTGCTGTGATTCATACAATCACCAACACTGAAAACATCCTTTTTAGGCTCTTGGCCCAGTGTACATGCTGTGCACACTCTGCCCACTCTATTTGATTTCCAGTGAGGGTGTTTAGGTGATTCTCCAATACTCTGTATGTAAAAAAAATAAACTAATATAATGAAACATTAGAGTTACCAAGTTTCAGAGAAAGGATGTGGTTTTCGATTAAAGACGTTTTAGGCCATTTCCATTTCCTGGCAGTGGTTTTGAATTGCTCTGACGTGTGCTTGGTTTTGTTTGGTTTCAACACAGCCGGATCATATGATTGAATTACCTCTTTAGCAAGTCTGCCATAGGCATCGAGTTTGTAAAAGGAGTTTCCAATAAGCCATTCATTTGATTCAGGTGTGTTGGAGCAGGATGCATCTAAAACCTGCAGGACATGTAGCTTTCAAGCACTGGATTTAGAAACTCCAGTGGGGGCTTCATAGGTACTTTTTTTTATATATATTATTTTTAGTTCTATTTTGTATATAACAGGTTTAATTTCCACCCACTCTGCTTCACTAAGTTTTCAATTAAAAAATGAGTTTCTATGGAGTAATGAAGATGGCATCCACTGCCCTGCAAGAAGAGACATGCAGCTAAATATATTTCAGGTTTTAAATACACCCAGGTACAGCTTGAACATTGTTGACAAATCAGTTGCTGACAGATTTATGATACTGCAGGAATAAAACTGTGACTCAGGTTTGCTGTTTGTTTTGATGAAGGAGATCAGTGTGAGACTATGGTGTCCTGCTGTGGGTTCAAGGTAAAGTGGAGGTGACTCCTATAACGGCTCCCCTTGTGACTTTGTGAATGACGCATTTGGTTCTCAGAATGACCAGAGCTAAGACAACCTGTCATCTGTCTTAATCCTTCGCTCTTTTCCTCTGTGTGAGAAATGTAAACATTATTACATAGACCCTTTTTCTGCTGTCGGAATATTGCTTTATTACGTTGTTGTCATTGTAGAAAGCGCATGTTGCCGTCTTTATTGCTTCGATCATTCTGTCTCACCTGGCCTGAAAAACACGTCCAAACGCTCCCTCGCCGATGTCCCTGACATATTGGATATTGTTGCGGGGGTACTCGAGGGCCAGCAGCTTTGAGTTCAGCAGCAAAGGAACCCTCTGGTACATGGGATTAGGATGGAGTCGATCCAGCAGGAGCTCAGATGGAAGAGCGCTCAGTGTTGGCGTCCCAATCTCTCTTCTGACAGCGAGGGCATATGGGAAAAAAAATCAAATAAAATCAGAAAACATAAAAACACATTTCAAGTTCCTTGTCTCTTCCTTTAGTTTTTCCTTACCTCTTTCTGTTCCTCCACTGCTTTCTCCTCCTGTGACAGCCAAGGATGATGATTGTGAGGAAGACCGCGGTTCCCATTGAGGTTAGGACAATAACGATGACAGACATGGAGTAGGCTGGCGATGATGACGTCGAGGTGGGAGGGGGACGAGGAATCTGATCGGGCGCTGTGAGCTCTGGCTTCTTCACTGGAGAAAACAGTAGAAGGAAAGTCACCAGCCTATTGATGTGCACAGAAGACGCTCATTCAAAACCCTTAGCAGGACGTCAAGTCGGAATTATGTGCAAAGGCTTGTGAAGATTACCTATTCAATCATGGCATGCTAAGATGAACAAAAAGGGGATGACAGACAAATCCAGATGTGTGAAACAATATCTGCACATAAATCCATGCAGATGCTTTTTTTTTGTTTTTTGTCCTTGATAATCAAACATGGAAATTAGTCCAATTTTCAAATTGGACTAATTTGAAGGTATTTCAAATTCCTGGAAGGCAACTTGAAATTCCTTCCAGGAAGGTCACAGCCATTGTTGTAAAAGGTATTTTCTACATTTTCCCAGTGTTGACTCGTATAGATAACATTTCTTCATCATGAGTTAATGGTGAATGGAACAGTTTCCCAGCATAAGTTTCATATGCCAGCCAGTATTTCCTGAAATGTGTTTGTGCCAGTCAGTAAGACAGCATAGGAGTTCAAACATGTTAGGGTCAAAACATTATAGATGCAATCCAAGACTGGAGCAGGAAAATCAGACATGATGCAATATTTCTGTGCCAGTGAAGCCCCTGGTGTGATTTAAAGGGAAGAGTAAGAGAAGGTTAGAATATCAATTAATTAAGTAAATCACAATTAAAAGCAAAAGAACCTGGTGCTGTGATTATTTCCCCACACCGAGGCACTGCGCAGTATTCCCAGCGTATATTAGGATCTGAGGTGTAACACCAAGGCTTGTCACTGATTCCTCCAGGATTCCTACAGTGGTTATTAGAATTCATCAGCTCTGGAACGACATCCACCGATAGGCGGTGCTGGTGAGGAACCTACAGAAAAAAAAAAAAAAAAAAAAATTTTGTAAGTAGAAAAAGATATAACTAATGACATATTCCTAAACTTTCCAGTGTAATACAGATTATAAAATCTTGTCTTTTCAAAAAATAGCACATTCTGGGGTAAATGCTTAATGTGCAGTATAGTTATAGCTCTGCCATCACATGGCATAATGTTTTCTGTTGAGGATTTTGGGAGCTTCTTTACTGAGCCTGCAGTTTGTTCCCTCTGGCAATAACCATCAGACAGCAACAGTCAAATGAAAGTCTGACTCTACAGGCCTAGGGGGGTTGCTCTACACTGTAGAGGCAAAGTACCAATATGGCAGTGACTCCTAGTAGAGAATAGGATCCATCCACATCCACGTCTAACCATCTTTACACTCCAGATGTCTTGTAGCAATTTGGGAAACTTAAAACTCTTTCTTAAGGTGAACTTTTTTTAAAATGATTTCCACTGAGCACAGCAGGTGGCTTTTCAGAGGAATAAAAAAGTGATACTACAATGATTTATCAGGTTTTTTTCTGCTCAGGTCAGTTTAATCATGCACCATGATGTCATAAACAACTTTAACTAGTAGTGTAATCTCACCACATTGGCCAGCTTGTATTGCCTCATAATAGCTGTAACTTAATCTGCTGAATAACTCTAAACACTTAAACTGTTCATCTTGTGCAAGAGGAGAAATGTGCAGCTGAATGCGTCAGCCTCTTTGAAGATGCAATTAGTGACCGTACACTGCGTTTTATTGGCTTGTTGAGTGCAGCAATCGTCTGGGTGACTCATTAGATCTAACGGCAGAATGAGGAGAAATTTGTCAGATTTTCCACTTCTGCACAGTGACAAAGATTCGACCCCATGCTGGTTTTTAACTTTATGATTCAGGCCAAAAAGATTGTATCCCACTGTACATGAAACACGTGCCTCAACAGGAGCCAATTTTGACTTGATTTTACTTTGGAGGGTAAGAGCTGTCCCTCGGTAACAATAGCACGCTGGATGGTGTTTATGTGTGGCTTGATGCAAGATAGATTCATGGAAAGACTTGCGCACAATGTAAAACAAAATGAAAACAAAGGGTGACATGATTATGACTTACAAGATTTGCATACAGGACACCGTAGCTATCACACAAACTGATGGACTGACAGTTTTCTTCACCTCTCAAGGAAATTTTGAATCACTGATATAAAATGGGGAGCAAGCATGAGGCAGGCATTTTCTGTTTCACATTAGCAAGAGTGGGAAATCAGAGCATAATCTGTTCATGCTGGTTTACAATTTACATACACCCAGCAAAAAAAAAAGCCAGTATTTTCTTTTCAGCATGAGAAAGTTCTAATCTTTGCTCAGTTATAACAAATGAAATGAAACTATTCATTTCATTCAAATTCTATTATTTTTTTAATAAAGTACAAAAGATTCATCCATTCATTCCTCCATCCATGGAGCCAGCTGCACTGTTGTTTTTATTATGCTTTTTTCCCCCCCACATCTCCCAGTTATATGCAAGAAAATAAATAAGTGGTTTAGAGGTGAACAGTGATGAGATCTTTCTTTTGTTTGTCTTTCTTTGCTGTTTGCAATTACATGAAGCACTTTATATATGGTAAAATTAAAGAGCACAAAGGAATGATCAGATCAATTAATGTCCTTTGGAAAACTATTCCAGTAAAAATCAGCCCTCTGATGAGATTACAAGGAGGAAATGAAAGCTTGGTGCTTGCCAAAAACATAGGGCTTGTCATTAATATGCATCAGTCAAGTTTTAAAGCCTTTGTTTTCATTAACGCTACAATATCACATCATATAAATGAAATTAGTTTTTCCTAAGCTGGAGAGCCTTAAACGTTTAAAATCACAAAATGGGTCATTTCATCGAAAACGCCGTTAAAGCATGAGGTGTTCCCAGATCATTTTAAGCAGAAAACAGATCATTGTAGATCTGCTGTCGACTTCAATTGTCTACAGCAGATTATTCATTTATTTTAAATTAAAAATAAATTACTGCCGAGTTTTACAGTTTAGTGACACATCAAAGCTATGTTTTGCTCTGGTTTTACGTCACACTTGGCATTTTGAAAACTTTCCCCCAAAAGTTACATTTTGGTCCTTTATGATCACTGTGTCCCGTAGGCTTGCCGTGTTTGACCTTTGGCAAACGGAGACTTTCAGCGCTACTCTTTCATAAAAGCCGGAGTTTTAGAGTGTATTACTAACAGAGACTCATTTTAATTCACTGCGTCCTTCTTGTGTTGAATCTACACATAAAAGAACGTTTTAGGTGTGTGTAAAGGAAGGAAAATTAGAGTAATATGTGAACAAAAGGTTACAGAGAATACACCAACATCTGGGTCATATTGGACAGCAATTGTTTCCTCAATTGGGCAAACGTATATAAGTATATGCCTGCGTGTGTGTGTGTAGGAGAGAGAGGTTGTCCTGGAGTCTGTTTACCATATGCGTGTGAAAGCTAATTGCTTCCAGAGGCAGGATGTGACATGAGAAGCTCCTCCCTCTCTGCTGACCTGGCACCAACACACACTCCCTCACACACAACAGCGCACAGGAGAGTAGTAACGGCTCACCCAAAAAGACCCTATAAGTGAGGAAAGCCGTAAAAAAACATAAAGAGGCTTTTGGGCAGCAGAGTGTGTGTTTGTGTTTTAACCCATGCACACCTATTCATGCGCACTCGTGCTTGCACTTGTCAGCGTTTTGTGTCCGTGTCAGTTTTTGGGTAGATGTCTTGCATAACTGATATAAAACTGATCAAAACATCTGGGAAAATCTTTTGGCTTTGGAATCTTGGAATCTCAGATATCATTATCCCAACAGTTTATCCACGCTCTTGTGAAAGCACCCAGCAGGTTTGGGGATTTTGAGAGGTTTAAGAGTTACCCAAATAAGAAGGGAAGGGGACAAGCTGAAAGTTGTTTTTTTATTCTTGTGCTTTTCTGAAGTAAAATATAATTTAGCTACCTTAGATGTCGCTGACCAGCTTAATTCCTGTTAAGCTACAACTTTGTCATGTAATGTTTTATGTATTTTTCAACCACTGCATGTTTGCTCTATGGTCCAAAACGATTCAGTTTAAGGGATGCGGATGTCCTGAGGGGGTGATTGTCCAGTGACACATGTTTTGTGGATCTTGAGAAAGCTTACAACCTTTTCTCCCAAGGCATTTTGTAACTGTGAGAGCAAGGGATGCTGGGAATGCTCCTAAAGTGTTGGTTCAGATTTTGTAAAATTAACTATTTACTGAACACAGTGAAAACGTTTCACATCGGTGTGAGTTTGTTAAAAGTGAAAATAAACCATAAGTGTTGGAAGCTAAGAGCTTTTCAGAAATAGACTGCTTTCACTGATTAGCATTTTAAAACAATTTAAACAGAAACTGTACATATCAGTTTTATATAAGACTTTGTTGGCAAATACTATACGTCCAACATTTCACAAGGAATAATTATTACATAATGCTGCTGTTTTGTTTATCTGAACAGCCATGTCTCTGTATGGAGTCACCCTCGGTGTGTCCAAACTCTTTTGACCAATCCGACTGACCCAGTAGATGTAGGCCGCGGCCTTCATGGACATCAAAATGAGAAGCTAAAGACTGAATGATCTAGCCTTCGAATTTATTACCACCCATACCCTACGTATGTCCTGTCACATAACAATCATAAAGCTGCTAAAAATAAGCTGCCAAAAATCAAGCCTGAAGTCTGGCTGAGTGGTTTTATTACACGTTTAGTCCATTAAATTAATTGAACGATTAATTAAATGAACGTGTCCTTTAAAAGCACTCCTTGAATTTGGACACACCCCTTGATTAGACCCTTTCTGCCTTTCTGAAAACCTTAAACATGAGCACACATTGATAATAACACCAGAGCCGCCAATTGCAGTAATAGCAGATTTGCTAAGTTGTTCATGTTTGCTTACCTGTTTGTTCCACGGTTGACACTGTATTCCAGATCTTGTGATATTCACATGGCCTTGGTAGAAGCGACCTCTGCCATCGTAACATGTTGCTGTTGACAACAAAGAAAACACTGGGATTAGGACACTGGGTGTTTTCTTGCCAAGTTTCTCTCTTCTGGTTTGTCTTTTCACACTTACTTGTTATCTGATCTTTTTGGAGATCTGAAATAAAATGGGGGAAAAAACAATAAAACGTCAAAGGGAAACAGCACTGGTAACTCATTTTGACAACATAAACAATTATATTAAATTGTGATATGACACTAAGTGGTATACAACCAGAAATAGAATAGGATGTTGGAAATGATCTGCTTGAAATGTTTTGGGTTTTATTTTTTCAAAAACGCTATGAAAAAGACATCTATGCTTAAGCTGTGTTGTCTATTACTATTATATGCAGATGACACTAAAATGTATATTTAAAACTCACAGCCTATGCCATCCTGGCCTTTGACAAATTTAAATCCACCCACAGTTACAACCACTACTAATATACTTACATACAGAAAAAAACTATGAACTATACCTTGAGCTAAAGTGTCACGAAGGAACACTCATCACAGTTTTGAGATGTCATATCTTACCTACAAAGGGGATATATGTACAGCCATGTGGGTCAGTGTACAGACTTGGTAAGGCCTGACAGTTGGGTAGCAGTGAAGTAAAAATTTGGGACCCAGTGACTGAGCTCAAGAGTCCAGCCTGAACTGACCCAGTCCTCTCCAGTGTCAACCACTCCTTATGGCAATAGAGCTCCTTCACTGCCAGGCAGTGCTCTCTGTTCCAAAAGTGAAGACATGAATTTAGATGATTAAATGGCTTAAATGTATTTCCTGCTCTCCGCTTCTAACTTAGAATCAGCCCAAAGGGAAATGTAGACCGCTCAGTACCTGCAGACCGGTTTAGGGGCTGAGCCACCAGATGGGTTGCAGTCGGGGAAGGCGGAGTGGCAGAGCAGCGAGAGGGCGACTGGGTTGCACAGTCCGCTGAGGCCTTCCAGCTCAGCCAACCAGCTCTGAACCAGGTATTCCTGCATCGCTTCAGGATCCGACAGGGAGGAGTTGAAGAAAACCAGAGAGTCGTCTCGAAGATTTGTTCGACACGCATCTCCACGATATGCACTGCAGTAGCCTGTGATGCCCTTATGACTGCCTGGTATCTGTTGCTGCTGATGATGTCTGTTGGAAAGAGAGAGTGTGTGAACAAATACATGGCCTCTTGTGTCTCTTTCTCTGTTATTTGTTGTGTTTGGACAGTTTATGAGCTATAAGATAATCATCAAAATTTCATTGGTTTTAAGTTTGCACTTTAACTAACAAATAGTGTTTGTTTTAACTTTATAGAGGTAGACTTGTTGTATCAGATTGTTGTTCAAGTACTAATGTCCCAATTTATAGCGTAGCATTCTCCTTACGGTTTTCTATTGGCAACATGTAAGAAGGAGAACATTTTTACATTCTCCGACTCACCTAATGATGAACAAAAAACTTAAATAAAAAATAAAAAACTGGGGCAGCCCCTCTTTTACTGCTTTGGTAGACAGTAAGTGAAAATATGAGATGTTTTTCACCTGAAATATCTCAACATGATCCAGATGTTGATGATGAGAGAAGCTGTGGAAGGTTTACATGGATTGCATGCCGTCTGCTGGACTTCCTCGCTGCCTCGTGAATGAACATCTGTCACATTTTATGTAAAAACCTGTCTGTGTGCCAGACTCCCTCTATTCCTGTTTTTCTCCTAGTTTGATGTTTGCTATTACTTCTCCGTTGCCTGTCAAGCCTTCAGGCATGGAAACACGTTCATCCCTGTTTGTCATTTTGACTCCTCTAAACGCCTACATGTAGAGCTAATGGCTTCTTTTCAGACCCAGGCTTTTTGTTGTCGTTCTGTTTTACGGCATTCACAAGTTCCAGATTGATGATTGTGCAAAGTTAAAATCAAAGTCCATTTATCCTTGTTTTTTTTTTTCCTTTTTGATCTTCAATTTCTATGTCCAGATGTGGCGATACAGTTTACCCTGTGTATGGCCTGCAGTCATATCCATTTTTTGTCTTCAAGCAGTCACTTTCTAATGCATTTTTTTTCCTACCTACTAAGTCTGTGACTTTTTTATGCGTGTTAATGCAGCTACGATTGTCTCCGTAGTAACGTATTTAAACTCCAAAAAGTTAAAAGTTTGGCATGGGGGTTCATAAAGTAAAGTAAAGACTGTTTGGCACAGTAAAAAAAAAAAAAGCAGTGTGGTGGAAATCCCAATTTAAGAATGAACAAACTCTAAAAATAATCTAACAATAAAAATAATCTACTGTTCCCTCAACATTTACTGACCCCTTCTGGAAAAACGTATAAAAGGTCTTAAAATATGTAAGTGATGAAACGGCTACCCACTGTTCAAAATGGGAAAGAAAAGAGAACACATGGTCCAAGTGAGGATGATCTCGCTTGCATGGCTTGTTGATCTTAATAAGTTAGAAAATAGCAACATGACCCAAATTACTTACTCAACCTTTCACATACTTAGTCAAAGGAATCATTAAAAGTTTGAAAACAACTGCAACAGTGACAGGCAAGTCTAGACGAAGACTTTAAATGAGTTTGGTGGAATTTGATCAAATTTACCTGAGCTATAACTAGAATGCCAACTGATCTTAAAATTGGCTGTAACATAAGACAAGGACTAAATATGAACTAAATATGTACAAAAGCACCTTACTCACACTCTTCAGTAGTTACTGGATCTGTGATACATGGCATCACGAACTATTTAAAACACCAGATGGTCTTAAAAATCAGTTGTGCTGCACGAGTGAATTTAAAATGGGTTCTCATTGTTCCTCAGAACCAAAATCAACCTTTTTTTTCCTTTTTTTATAACTTACACCTCAACTCTCAGACTTAAATTAGGACACACACTGGCCACTTTACTAGGTGCATTTGTTCAATTGCATATTAAGAAAAGCAGCAGATCAGCAAATCACCCAGGTGCAGCTCGATGCATTTAGTCATCTAAACGCGGGGTAGAAATACTTAAGTTCAGCAAAAAGTGAAAAGCTACTAAGTTGTAATGTGTTGTACCCAAAATTAAAGGTTGTTTTTTTTAATGTTCAGTCCAAAAATAACATATAAAGTCTTTTAAAAAGCTTATTAAACATCTCTACCTGGGCACATATACAAGGCTGTGCACAAAAAACATTCAACACATTAAGAAAAGACCATAAACTGAAAGATAAAAAAAAGAAAAAAGGCATCTTTCTTACCTCCAGTCTATAAAGAGGCAGTATCCAGAAGACACCAGTTGAATGAACCCAAGTTGAACAGCGAGAACAAAGACACAAGACAAATGGAGAAGACAAAGTTGATTCGTATGTTTCAGTCTGGGAGAGCCAAGAGCAGCCATGGTGCTTTTCTCTTCAAGTCGTGGTAATCTGTGAGGGGACTGAAGGACAACCAGGTGGAAGCAGAGTGTGTATGCAGGTGTGGTCACTGTCATTTGAGGACGACTGTGAGCAGGGTGTGTTTTAAAGCAAGAAACAGCTGAAGCAACATAAAGCACGACCATCTGGCAGCTAGAACAACACAAATAAGCAGCTGGTCACAACAACCACTCATCAATAAAACAGTTCAAACTTTGAACTAATAAAAACTGTTCTTTAAGTCTTGTTTTTTTTTTTTTTTTAATGAGAGTTTGATGGCGATGAAAACTATTTTCTCTACATTACCTATAACAGTGACTCTGGCACTTTTTTTAACATTGTTCGCTCCACCGCTGTGTCTGTTGGAGGCCACACATGTGTATAATGCCGACTTAGTCACCGTTACTTTAAGGACGGAGAGGATTACATTTCCCACCAGAGTCTCCTCCACAGAGGCACCGGACACCTGGAAAGAAAATCACAGACGAGAGAAAGGTGTACTAGACACAGATCAGATAAGAAGTCTACATCAAGTCATAAATCTGGTTCTTTTTCAGTTTTTAGTAATTCATGTGAACAGCATTTTGAAGTGAGTTTAAAAAAAAATCAAAGCATGAGTATGTAAGTGGGTTCCCATCTTCATATAAAAGATGACGTATGCAATGATCTGCAATGCGGGAACCTGTGAACGAATGAGGCTAGGCTAGCTGCTGACATGTGGCTGTGTCTATGTTTGAAGTCGCTTTTCACACTGTCTGTTTTGGGACCCGGCCTCGTTGACATTAACGGCCTTAACAAGCTGCCAAAAAATCACCTCCCAAAGTCATTTTAATCAGCACGCGCACACACAGACCTAGTATTTACAACTATTATGGGCTTATAATCATGTTGTATCACCCTGGACTATAAAAGACCCAGACGGTATGTGATGTAAGTCATTCCCTTAATGGTTTGCATGAGGAAAGTCTTGTGTCCTTGTTAAAAATATGACCTATTTAACATTCTGCATTAGTTATAGTCAAAAACTTAGAGAGATTTCTTAGGCTTTGATTCTAGAGTTTACTTTGAAACACTTTGAGCCAATCATGAAACAAAATTCTCACATTGCTCTCTCATTTAATAAGACCAACATTATTATCTAACCTGATAATTGCGGGTATTATTAGATAACTGCGATGCAATCTCTTTAAACTTTTGTCGCCATGATGAGAACTCCCCGCTGTTTATATCCCTGATCCCATGGCCCGCCTGAAAGCCCTCTAACTGCTCAATCTGTGTGAATGCAAGTGCAAAACGCAGATATCAAAAGCAACAAATGAAAGTGTAATTTCTGTTAGTTATTAAAGGGTAAGGGATTCAACATCTGCGTTTCTACAACCTCACAGCTGCTCGTTCTGTTTTAGTTCCGACACAAATAAGTGAGCCCCTTTTTTCTGCACCTTCAAAAGAAAAAATATAAATGCCAGAACATATTACAGGTTGCATGAATCTCAATTTGTATTTTAATGAATGCCTACTGCAGATTTACCCACTTCACGCCAATGATCGGCCCAATAAATACAATTAATATCCCTCATAAAATGTGCTACCTGTGTAACATGAAAAAGGATTAGGAGGTATTTGCCACCAGAGCTCGTCTTCAAAGAGTAGATGTTTTGGGTACAAGTCATAGACGACTCCTCCCGTCAGCCAGGAGTGAGCGTTATGGGCCATGTGAGAAACTGCCACTGCCTGTGTTAACAACTCTTTCCTCTGGCATGTTAAAGAAGCACTGCTACTGTACTTAGAGGATCCGATTGTTACGCTGTGGAAATACTTTGCTGAAGTAGTTTGGCCTTAGGGTCACTGAAATTTACTACCTTTTTTAAATGAACATGTATATATCATAAGATTTTTTTTTTTTTCTTGAGATCATAAGCCCTTCAGGAGAAATGTGGTTTCCTCATTGCGGAGAACCAGAAGCTTACTGTGACCTAAAACCAACACTAGAAGACAGGAAAACAAAATAAAATGTGCTTTTGCAAAACCCCACTAAGGTTTTCGGAGATTGTGAGATTTTATAAAAAGTTTTGCAACAGCAGCACCATGACAAGAGCATCAATCCCCTTCCAACAGCAAATAGTATGGAGGTCAACAAAGTTATTTACGCAGTCCATATTTTAACTACAATACCACTACTGAAAATATACGTCTTGTTAATAATATTTTAAAAAAATACAATTTAAAGCATTCGTTTAACCACATATAGAAGCTCCACATAGAAGCTCTGAAGCATCTGTCTTATTTAATTAAATGTCATTGAGTGGCAAAAATCACCTTACATTCAAAATTATTTAAATACAAAATAACAGCAAATTGATTTAAAAAAAATCTATATATTTTACTAGATGTGTAAATATGTTTCGGCATCACTACTTAAAGTAATAATAACACAGATGCTCCTCAATTTATTGTCTGCCGTTGTAAAAGGACAATTACATAATTATGCAGACAATAAGAATGAATTTTACCAAAAAAAATGAAAATCAGAAGAATTCATTTTAAATGTGTTCAAGTTTACATGCATATGCACAGTAAATTAAATCCAACCACTCACAGTATTCCCGTTTTCCAGCCAGGTGATGGTGGGAATAGGATTTCCAGTGGCATTGCACTCCAGGGTTATCTGGCTACCATAATCTGCTCTCTTCTCTTTTGGAAATCGCAGGAGTCGTGCCGGAGCTGAGCAGATACACAAACAGGGTGCTAGATTCATTTAAGCATAACAATAGAAACAAGTCTTAACTTGAAGCAAGTTTAACCATGCAAGCATAAAAAGCAAACATCGTACTTTGTACTTCAATGGTGACAGGCTTTGAAAAGGCCAAACCAAAGCTGTTCTTTGCCACACAGCGGTACATCCCAGCATCCTCCGTCTGGATCCTATGAATTTTTAGTGCCCCATAATCAAGAATGGTGACACGGTCGCTGATCTGGAAGAAATTTGTTCAAAGTGTAAAAAGTCTGTTTAAACTTTTCAGTATTCCAAGATCATATATGAGTCAGGAATAACATTATAAACCTTTCAAAAGTTAAGTGAAGGCCAAAGCTTCTTTTATTATAAGCCCTGTGAGAGGGTGAGATGTATTAGAGAGCAAGGACTTTGCTGTCAAAGTTGATGTATTAGTATGAGGAAATAAATGTGAAGCAAAAAGTTTAACAAGCATATCGGCTGCATAGTAAAGCAGTCATGGTAAAAGCAGTCTTGCTTGTGGTCTTTTTTACGATTAAACTGCAAAACAGTGAGCATGACTGAGCATTTGAGAGTAACAACAAACTTGCGGTGTTTACTTGCTCAACAAATTTCTCTGACCCCAATTTATTTGAGCATCTCTGGGATGCACATCAACCAACAAGTCCGATCTGTCGACATCTCACACCTCACAGCATTTATAAGATCTGCTGCTAACATCTTGGTGCAAGACCCTGAAGATTTCTAGAGGAGGAGTTTTGCGGCTGTTTTAGCAGTAGAAGCATCATCCTATCGATCAGGTGGTCATAATGTAATGTGTCACTGGCCAAGCAAAGTCAAGCAAAATATGACAAATTAATAGGTGAAAACTATGTTGCTAGCTCTTCACATAATTTCTCCCTTTGCAACAATTCTTCACTTCATTGCTAAAAGACACACTGGCCCATCATCCACAGATAAAGTTAAAGATGCGTACCTTGATAAGCTCATCATCCTTGAGCCAGGTGACATCTGGTTTGGGATTCCCCAGGGTAACACAGGGCAGCACTGCTTTAGATTCCACCAGTAAAGTTACGTTGGTAGGTTGACGCTTGATCTGGGGCTCTGGTTTAGGGAAGACAAACTATTTTAGGGTTCACAAAGTTTTTATTTATAGCCTTTATTCCTAAACTATAAACTTTTAGAATAAAGCTCACTCATCTTCAGCTGGAGAGCTCCGCAGCTCTTTGCGGCTTCTCCGATGCCGTTGCTGGCAATGCAGCAGTACTCTCCGCTGTCTGACTCTTTCACATGAGGGATGGTCAACATCTGGCCCTGCTCCTTGGTAAGGTATCGGTTGTCAAAGTACCTGATAGAGCAAAAAGGAGTGTGGTGATGAAGTAACCAATTTAGATTTTGTTACAACTCGTGAATTTTCTACTTTTACATTTTACAGACCGTCACAAAAGAACAGGTTGCATCTGTGTGAGTCTTACTTTTAACACATAGTCACATTAAAAACTTTAAACCTAGAATCCGAGATTACATTTTTATGATATAGCTAAGCATCTGTGGCCTTTCACTAATTCTTTAATTCTCCTAAATTAAAAGCAGTAGAGGCCTACGTTCATATTTCAGGTCTTAAATCTCTGGTGCAATGTTATGCTAAAATCCCATTTTTTTCATACGATTGTTCACGCTATAATTTTAATGCGACCAACATCAGACTCCAATGTGAAAAGTCTGTGGCCCTTCGGTGACCTGCATCCGTGCAGGAGAACATGTGGAATCTCATGCAGCATTTTGTGTTTGTACAAGTTAATATGGATGTCAGAAACGCTTGTCCAAATGCAAGCTGACACAATTATGACTAGCTCTGTTAATGCTGTCTGCTGTAATGTTCTTACATTCTGCCGTGGTACAATTTATTTTGGAGGAAACCAACTCTAGTAATAAGATGCAGCATCTCGATTTGATTAGCTTGAAGCACAACCGTTCTGCACAGACTGTAAATAATGAGATGCAGCTGAAACGTGCAAATCCAAAAACAACAGCATGTAGTTATTAATGAAGTCAAAATATCCTGGCCTGGGTTTTATTGGAAAAAATAAAAAGTAAAAAATAGACTTGTGCTGTTCACGCTGTCATTAAAAAATATGGGTCACATCTGTGTAAAACAACTGGAATGTATTCACTTTTCACCCCAGCCTGCAGAACAACACCTGGGATATACAGTTGAGATTTTGGATTTTTATATTGTAACGTTTTATTGCTTTCCTGTAAATTATCAATACGAACTAGTAACTTCTTTCATTTTTTTTTAACTAAGCATGTAATGTCACGGTCAAAATGTGGTTACTTTTAGAAGGGAATGTCTAGAATGATCAAGAAACAGTAAACTTACATGATTGGCTGATTATTTTTGGTCCATGTAATAGAAGCACTGGGACTTGACTCCACCTCACAGATGAAGGTGGCATTTTGATCAAGAAGAACATCCACTGTTTCTAGCACAGTGATGATATGAGGTGCTGGGCAATAAAAAAAAAAAAAAAAAACATATAGAAAGCATTCTGTCACACAACAATCTAAATACATTAGAACAAAGGAGATTCACACATTTGTTGAAGCCGCTGAAATAAGTTGCTTCTTTACCATGGACTGACAATGTTTTATTTGGTATTTTTTGCTTAGTCTGTTTTAATGTGTCATTTTTAACCTAATCATCTATCACCTATCACAGATGATAATCCCACATGGCAGTAAAGTGCTCGAAATCACTGATATGTGTGGGATATGCATCAATCATGCATTAGTGGGATAATATGCCACCACGGTGGAATTTCAAGTAGACATCAGGTATATTTTAAATGCGTAATCAGAAGATGAAAAGCCATGCGTCGAGTCCATCCATTATAACGCTACAGTAGTAGTCTATACGCTACATTCTGTTGTCACACTGCCTTTTTCAAACTAAAATAATGTGAAATTTTTCTTTTATTTAACGAAGAATAACCATTGTACCTTATGCCTCTTTTTTTTCTCACTAAACCAAAACCAGAAACGTTTGATCTTTTTGTAAATCTCTATTACATGAAGTATGAAGCAGCAGGAAGCCTCTTAGAAAATGATCGCTTGAAGACAATGGTCTTCAGGAGGTAATAGTTAGTGTTTACAGTTGGCCTCAGATCAGACACGTTCGGATTTCCTTTCAACTTAGAAAGATCTAATACACTAACAGTTCAGGAAACAAGAGAGGAAGTGCACTGGGAGCAGCAGCAACAAGAAAACAAATGAGAGAAAAGGATAAGAGTATAAAGAACATTGTTTTCTCTCTTTTGAAATAAAGATTTCTAATTGATTGAAGTGAACAAATTCATCTCTCACCTTGAGGGTTTGAGGTGCTGCTCGACTACTTGGTGATAAAAAAAAAAGTTAGCACCACAGGTTCTTTAATGAGCTGAAATGTTGGCTTTAAAGATTCCTACTTATCTCAGCTTCTCAAGCTGCATTTTATTTTGAATATTCTAAATATGCACTACTGAAAAAAAGAAAGAAATCCACAAAAAGGCAGGTTTTCCGTGAACAATTTGGAGTTACACTCCACAGAAAAAGCCAGGAAGTAGGTCAATCTGCAAATAATAAGTCTTAAACATGTAAATTTCCACTGTGTAGTTTTTGAGGTTTTTTTTAATAATAACCTATGAAGGATATCACCATTTCAATCTTTTTGGACAATTTTACCAAAAGGTGTTGAAAAAAGTATGGTGCAAGATATGATGCCATTTATTTAATGCCTTTTCTATGACTAATGTTGTTTGTATTCACGTGAATAGTTATTTAAAACAGGTTGTTTTTATTTCTAAGACAAATATGCAATCCATCTTTAGATGAACTCTCTTTTTATTTTTTTTTATGTAGTGTCCATGTTATCTGGCAATCCCAAAACCTCCATCATGTCACTTATTGTACAGAAGCTCCTGTGGCTCTCCGTGGACAGAAAGGCCACCTGTTGCTCTCTGCAGCTTGCGTAGGAGCTCCACACTTTCTAAGCATGTCTGCCTGCAGGCTCATGAACTGTTTGTGCTAGCATTTGATATGGTGCTCATATCACATGTCTGTAATCGGGCGCTTCGCTCACTGCTTCAGCAAGAAGATCTGAGCATGTTAGCTGTGATGCAGTCGCCTTGCGTACAGCGGAAGTGCTGCATATTAGAATGTGTGACACATCTGAGGCTTTACAATTTCCTCTGTCACAAATTACAGACAGGGTATCCCAAGTTGTAGGGAGGAAACGAAGTTAATCAAATTTTCGCTAAGTTGGCCTGTGGACACCAGCTCGTTTTTCATGCTGCGTATGAAGGTTACCGCTGTAGTTCACTGTAATTATACAAATATTTTTGGACAGTTGCAGGAAACACCATCATCTTTAGGAGAAGACAAAAACACACAGTCAAGCAACTAGGATCACTCAAGAGTTTCTGACTTACCTCTCTGTGTGCTGTAAGCCAAGGTGACCAGAATCATGTGAAAGGCAAATATTTGCTCCAAAGTCTTCATTTTGGCTCCAAAATGATTAAACTGAGTAAAACATGTGGTTCAGGAAGCAAAATATCAAACTGGCAGCTAGAGTCCCATAGCAGGTAAGGATGATCTAGTTGCTTCACTCTGTGCCGGGGACGACCATGAGCTCTCTCTGGGACAGCTCTGTCACTCTGTGTGAGCACGCCTGTATGTTTTAACTGGGTGATGGACAGTGGCAGCTGCTCAAGCACAGTCACTGGGACTTTGCAGCTATGCTCCGAGCTCGGATGGCTCCATGAGCAGTGATCATCAACACGGACAGGACACTTTGTATTTATTCAGAACAAATCGCACTGGGATGTTTCTGTTCCCTGTCAGGAATCCAACAGAAGAGAAGCACAACGCATTTATTGAAGGATATAAATTCAAGCATGTCACAATTGTGCCTAATCATTGCTGTCAAACAATTTGGCATCCATACCACTGATATTTTCCTACAAACATGTATTCACACATGCAGCTCACCGCTTAACAATCTGATAAGCACACATCCAGGATACACAGAATCCAGGAGACAGCCTTTGTGTCCACCTGTTGCCAGTCTGCCTGAACTTTGTGTTTTATTTTAAGAAAGGAATGGCATTTCACTTCATTCACTGCTCATCCAGCATCGAGGGCACTTAGCTATTGTACTCCAACAGGAAGTCTGTGTCTTTAAGTCATCATTAAGGTGTGTTTTTTTTGGGGGGGAAGGTTAACTTATGATTTGTGGTTTCATGAACATGTCAGAATAGTGGCAAAAATAACTTGAACTGATGTTTCAGCATGCAATACTTCAAAAGCAGATGAGAATAGAATAGAATAGAATAGAATAGAATAGAATAGAATAGAATAGAATAGAATAGAATAGAATAGAATAGTGGAAAGCATACAAATGGTTTAAATAGAAGGGGTATGCATATAAATATTTTTCAGTTAAACAAGGATCTATTTATAATAAAAATATTTACACATTTGTGTAATATTTATTTGTTTAGTAAATAACTCGTGCTAACATCAGAGAAAAGTCATTAAAAAAAATGTATTTGGTGCAATACCTCCCGTTTGGTGAAAACTACTTACAGTAAACCTGTTTGTTCTTCTTTTTATTGTCCACTAGGTGACGCTGTTTGCTAAGTGATAGCTTCGCCTCTTTTTTTGGTTCTTCTACAAGAAGCCTACAAACGGGGGAAAACTCTAAATAAGTTATTTAGCTGGAACTAAATAAGATCTATTCTAAAATAAACAGAATAGAAACACACACAGTGACAAAGTAGCTTACTTCTCTAAACGCTCTGGCTTTAAAAATCATGAAAATATCTGGAGATCCTCTGGCTCCCTCTGCTGATAGAGCAGCAGTCGCATACAAAACCAACACTTTTTGTTTTTATGTATATTGCACAAAATTCTAACACAGTCTTTAGTGACTCAGAGATCAGTTTTTATGGTACATGCTGTGCTGTTAAATAAAAGACTTTTCCAGGTCTTCTGAAGATCCTTTAAATATTTTGTTTGGAACTTGGACTGTGATTGATTTCAGCACAATTGTTCTACTTAAAAGGTGATAGAGAAATTGATTTTACTGCAGAGATATAAGGAGGAATGTAACCTCGAGAAACCCAGGGTCTTTGTACATACAACTTATCAAACAATCCAAGCTTTGTCATGACCCGTGTCTGTCAGGTCTTCAAGTGTTTTTGCAGCAACTAGATGATTACCAAAAAGCTACTTGCCAAAACTTGCCGAACACTTGCAGATGAATCAGTTGAAGGGAGACTCAGCATTCAGTTACAAGTCAGATCTATCCTGGACTTTCTTTTAAGATATAAAAAGACACTTATTTCCAATACTGTCCAAATAAAAAAGTAGATAATTATATACCCATAAATGTTCATCCAATTTCATAAAGACTCAGTGAGAAAGAAGGAAATAAGAGCGGAATGAAGGAAAGAAGAATGACCAGAAGTGTTGTAAAATAAATTAAAAAGCTAAGAAATACCAAGACGTAACAGCTTATCACATTCTCGAACTTACTGGTTGCTTTCATAGATCTTACCAGGTACTTTCCTAAAATTTCAAGACTTCTTTCTAAAACTTGGCACAAGATGACTGCACATGAAAATGTACCTGGTACATTCTGGAAAACTTGCCAATAAGTTTGCACAGAGTACTTGATAAGTTCTAGCAGAGAAACTTTTAATGTTTTTTAAAGGTTCCAAGAAAGTGTCTTGCAAGTTCTGGAAAGTCCCTTCTAGAACCTAGAAGCAGCCTTTAAGTTGTGGACAAATCCCTGGACCCACAAAGAAATCTTGAACTATAGGTAATGCCTGGTGACTTCATTTTAAGAAAAATCTTACACATTAAAGGACTCTTACCTTAGGAGAGCTCCTGCAGTGACACGTTGTCAGAGCAGACAGGAGAACTTTTAGCAAGCCTAGCAGTGTCTTAAGAAGGGGAGACAAGAGAGATACTCTGTAAAATGGAAAGAGCTCTGCCAGCAGTGGGTTCTGCTCCTTTGTCCTGTTTGGGTTTCACATCCTTTACTTCCCCGTTTTATGTTACTTGTTTTGTCAGATCAAACATTTTTACAAGCAGGCAAGCACAATAAAGTACTGACAGCTGAAATAGATGGCTTAGTAAAATGGCGAGAAGTTGTGGAAAATCAAAGTAAGGACGAGGATTTAAATAATCTGTGATCAAACATGTTGATGTTGTGTGGCAAATAATTAAATATTGCATAGCTCCATCATCGTGACACACTTTTCTTAATCCTGTCAATGTAAAATCAGTTAACTTCTATACATTGTGTCATGAATTGGTGAGTGAGAGGTGGTGAGGATGAACACAGAGACCCAGGTTGTGATGAAGATGATGATGAATTTAATGGTAAATGTGGCTCAAAAAGGTCCAGATCAGGTGGCACGGCAGAGAGTTTAGCACACAGCTAATTACCGGTAGCAACTGATGCAATGAGGACTGAAAACGAGAGCTAAATGATAACCAGGACTATACAGTACAACTGGAGAGCAGAGAACATAAGACAGAACTGACTTTAGACGAGGACACAGGTAGACTTAAATACACAGGGAGGGTAATGAGGAAAACTAGACACACCTGGGAAGCAATCAACAGGGAAGAGGAAGTTTCTGTTGTCTCCTTGCTCAAAGTTTCTTTCTTTGCTCTCTGAATAAATTATTCTTTGTTTTTGAGAATTCAGACTTTGGTAAGTTGTGGGAAAGTGAACTGTACATGCTGCAAAATTTGCAAAGATGTTTCAAAAGCATACCTGGGAAGTTTCAGAAAGTATCTTCATTATTGCTTTACATTCTAAACTTTGCTGTGTAGAAATACAAATTGCCAGTTTAAAACTGTGCACTCGCTAAATTCTCTGAAGACATAATTGTTATACCGTAATGTTTTACGGGAAGTGTCTTTGAAATATAAGAAATATAAAAGAAACCATGTCTCTTGTCAACCAAGGTTAAGCAGTCAACCAGACCTTCAGAGTTGTGATGTACTGATGAATAATTTGCTTTGCATGTTTTAACTTATGCTGGGTAAAGCAGTTTGAATTAAGCTGCTGAACTTAGCAGCAGTAAAGGCTTAGCTAGTAGGAGTCTGTATCAGATTCAAAGATTTGAAAATCCTCAAGTCTCCTTTTGTTTGTACACGCTGTTTCTCTATCGCTCTCCCTCTGTTTCCACTTCTCTCTCACTTTACCTTTCTTTCTCTCTCTCTCTCTCTCTCATACATGCTCACATTCTAAAGTCAAGTCAGATCTGGTGTCAGTCAGCCACTCCCTCTGAGGATTGTCTCAACGTGTTCTGCAATAATTAACCAGCTGCTCTGGGGTTGCTACACAGGCTCACCTCCTGCTGCACCAACTGTACTTCAGACCTTTGAACGCAAACAAATGCACAAACATTCGACTTCTAAACATGTAGTGGAAATCTACATCGTTGTTCAGAAGATCAGACGAAAGACTGGCCAGGTAGGGAGAAGTTGTTTTTGATCTGCCATGGAGAACGATTTTGATGTGGCTTTCCACAGAACCAAACACTGAAAAGATGTAGGATTGGTATCGTTTGTGTTATGTGAGTGAATTGGCGGTTCGGTTCCATTTTATCTTATTAAGGGATATAATTATTGAGGGTTTCAAACAAAATTATTGTGACTAACAATCGTGTTAGCAAAACAAAGGCTTTGAATTACTATCTATTGGAAGTTGATTATAAGAGGGAATAGGCACATGCATGACACACAGGAAGGCAGTAAGATGAGTTACTGGGTGTGCACGGTGGCTTTTCACCCACCGGTCATGTCTTTTTCTGAGCAGAAGTGAATAATATAAAAGGCGTGCTTACATAGCCTGTGTTGCTTGTCTCATGTAGATAATAATCAGTTTAAATGAAACTTGCCTCAGGCTTGTCTGAATTGAGGGAAGTGGCCATGACACAATTAGAAAACTGAAAAAAATTGTGTTATTTAAGCTTCTTTCTGTTTTAGGCACTAAAATTATTTTTATGTCATATAGAATTATCTTGTTAGTGAACATAATTGTGTAGATCCTTATTGATGTACACCATCCTTGGTTTTGACATGTTTTCACGGGGAAATGATCTATAATCTCCATTTTTTTATCCATAAAATGAAATAAGATTTTTTTTTTTACTAAATATACGTTTGATATGATTCTTTGACTAAGTGAAATTATACCGTAAAAATGTTTTATTCTTTCAGTCATTTTTAAGCTTTAATCATTTCTAAAATTAAATAAATAAATAAATGTGCACCTCCAACAGCAATGGAGACAATTTAAAAACTGACCCCATCTTCATTCAATTTAACCCAAACAAATGACAACAAAGCAAATTCTGGAAACCGTATAAAACTTTATTGGGTCGCTCCTGGTTCTGAGCACTTCTTTAGTTCAACTGTCAACGAGAAATGACTAGCTCAGTTATTTCCTTCACCACAACTAACAGGTTGGGGCAGATGACAATTCTAAGAACAAAGGGAAATGTCAATGAAATGAACGACTGCTGCTGTTACTTTTACGCTGTCAAAGAAAACCAGAGGAAATAAAAGAAGAGTAGGAGCAAAGACGCTCCAGCAGTCACTGGTTCCAGTGGGAGGCTTCAGCGTCTGTGGGCAAAATATAAACAAATGGTTGGCCCTACGCTGTCATCACTGGTTACTGGGTGGAGCACTGTTATTAAATCTCTTGGAAACATGCAGGAAAAAAAAAAAGAAAGTGAAAGAGTAAAGGGACGGTTAGGGAGAACGGGATAAATATAACTTCAGACAGAGAAAGAAAGAGCTGGAAAAATCTTTTTAAAGCACAGAAGGAAGAAATCGACTGGGACAAAGACAAAATCAAGAGGTTATCTCAGATTTTCAATGTCGGACGTGGTAAGACTTTTATTTTCTAGTAGCATTTTGAAAGGATTGAGGCTACAATGGTTGTGCGAGTGCAGGAAGACCGGTTTTAGCATTGACGGCTCACAGGTTTTGTGTTGTATACTGCTTGATGCTTTAGGATTCAGCATGGCTGCTTTGTATTTGTGCTGACAAGTGATCACAGTTGATCCTGTTGTTTTTTCTCTCTCTCTACAGTAGCTGAACAGAGATGAACAAAGCTCCTCTGCCTGCAGTGATCCAAGCAGGCAGTGGGAGGACGCTGACTAGGTGATTCAGGGCTTTCTGTTTTATTTTTTTGTTTATTCTATGTTTCTGATATTTTTCTGGAAAATGTCTTAATTCCACACACACACACAAAAAAAACTCACAAAAAACATTTCCTGTTTACAATGTCTTGTAAAAGTATTCAGATCCGTGTTGGAAGGGGAAAAAAAGTGTTTTTAAACAAATCTGAGAAGTGTGGCGTGTATTTGATTGTACTTTCGCAAGGACGTTGCATTTCTCTGTTCTTCATTTCGCTGTGCAACATATTTCATTTATTTCTTCATTTCAGAGCAGAGTTTTTGTCACTTTTGAACACCTACAACTGCTACCTGAAGGACCAGACTCAGCTGCATCTCACCTATTCTCAGGTGCGAGACACGGCGCTTTAAGTTGCTTCTGGTTTGTGAGAATCGCTGAAGGATAACTAAATGAAGGCCGACAGAAGGATGTGAGCAACAACGCATGTGTCTGTGTGGCAGGGGCATGGAGGACAGGTGATAGTGGAGGGCTTTCTGAACATCTCCTGGGGAGTACGACGACCAATCAGACTGAAGATACAGGATGAGAAACAGATTCTTCCCCTTGAGTCTCCAACTTCAGTTGATCCCACCAGTCAAAACAGCACAAGGTGTTTTTTTTTGTTTGTTTTTTTTACTTTAATCATTTTTAAATGGAAAGGTAAAAAACTTTTGTATGACTGTGGACTGATGTCATTTTCTGGGTGTGTTTCTGTGCAGTACGATGTCACGATGGGGAGAACACAGTGAGGTTCACCAGATAAAAGAGCCAGAGGCAGCACAAGAAACAGTCTTCACAGATCCTTTACCAGGTTCATTTTTGATTTTTTTTTAGACACCAGCACCATGTTTTCCCACTTCCTTCTTTCTTTCTAAATAAAAGCACCCTTACAGATTTCTTCTGTTTTAGATCCTGTCAGCCCAATCAGCCCTCTGGGGAGCAAAAGGTTCAGAGCTTTTAATCATTTTTTTTTAAAACACAAATATTCATTTAAAACTGTAAAAGCCTGAGGTTTATAAGGCAAGTAATGTTTACGTACAAAGGTGAAAACTTTGACAGGACTCTGTTGGAAGTGATGTCATGTCCTGGGTCTGTCTCTTTTTTCAGTACTATGTCACGATGGGGAGAATACAGTGAGCTTCACCAGATAGATGAGATGGCAGAGACAGAGGCAGCACAGGAAACGGTCGTCAAAGATCCTTTACCAGGTTGGGCTTTAAGTTTCTACGGTAACGCTTTATTTGAAGTGGCGTGTGCCGTCATAAACATGACATAATCAAATGAAGTCTCCAAGAACGTTTATGATGGTTGCCACTGAGTGTCATTGGAGAAATAATGACACTTTTCATGCAAAACGGACACTTTTAATGTAAATTTGCATTACGAGTGTCATTGTTTACCAAATTACAATAATGGAAGTATTTGGTGCACCAAGTACATTTTGGAGCCGACGTCACAAATGTGTGTTGTCACCTGACATATCACCAACACTAAATCTATAGAGTCAAAAAATATAAAAGAACTGGCTGCTGCACACAGGTCGTTTTGATGTTTCTTATAAAACTGGCAAAATTATTATGCCTGGTTTGTAAAAGGCAACAAAATGGCCGAAACATTGCATGAGTAACAAATAAAACTAAAAGTAAAATAAGAGATGTTTGTTGTCAGCTGCCCAATTTGAGCATGGGGAATTTTGGTTAACCTCTTATTAAACTGAGTTACCTATCTGGTCATTTCAAAGGACTTTATTCCCAAACCCTTAAAATGTGCCTCTCTTTTTGCATTTAGGGTTACCTTTGTGGACACATAGCAGTTTTCCAAAGTCCAATCTGGCTATTTTGGTCATTGTGGGATGCAGCCTGGGGACCTTTTAAAGGCAATGAATTATAAATTATGTCTTTGTAGAGATTTAGACGCTCATTATTATCTACTAGATAGCATAAAATATCCTCTCTAGTAATTTGTATTGCCTTAATGAACATGCTATTGAAATTAGTGGCAGTTTTCATTACGTCCTGACATCTACTGCTTGCAGTATCACTTAAACTGGAGTTCCTTGGTTTATCATTTTAGGATCTTCTTTGCCCTTCTATTGACCGTTCGTTTGCAACTGAAATCAACTTCCTCTGCACTTAAATGGTGCTGGAAGATAACCTTGTTTTGTAGGATTGGAAAATATGTTTTTACGTTTCACAGGGCCTCCTGTTTATGAGACTGCCACCCTGCGTCCCATGAGGCACAGGAGCCATGAGCTGGAGCCAGAGTCCAACCTTGTTCGCTGTATGAGCGATGTCTCGTTGGTGAAGAGGAGGAAGGGCAGGGGCAAGTCGGCAGCACAAAGAGAGAAAGAAAAACAGCATCGCTTTTCTATCAACGGACATTTTTACAACTACAAAGTAAGTTCATGGGTAACGAGGCCTGAATGAGGCTGCCTTTTCACTTTTTTACTTTTAACACCTTGTCCACCAGTTTCCTCACTCCTCTTATTCGTTGATGGGATTTTTCAATGTGTTTTAGTGATGTTTTGTTAATTTACTTGTTAATATCTTATGTTTAATGTAAAACTGTGTTGGTGTCGTTATTTTGTAGATTTAGTTAAACAGTGGACAGTTAAACATTACATACAGAGGCAGATGGTTATATATTGATGAAGGAAAATAAGTGAAGTTAAGGGAAGCTAAATGAAGTGAGATAATTCCTTTACTATCGCATGAAAATCCTTGGGGAAAAATACTACAAAATCAAAATGTTACAGCAGGACAAACTCAAAAAGTAATACACAGACTGCTAACTGAGCTTCCAATCTTATCCCTCATAAAATCCTGAGCTACCTCTTTTTTTTCCATTGACTTTTGCAGACCTCTATATTCACCCCGTCATTTGACACTTCAACTAAAGTTCGCATCTCTAGCAGGATGACCACAGACCAAGTCATCGAACAGCTGCTAAACAAGTTCAAGGCAAGTTTATAATGCTTGCTCTTACAGCACATTTCTGTTTTTGCTCAATCAGGAAAATAGTGAACAGACCCCATGTTGAATTATCTACTGTTTATCTCTTGATTTGTTTGTAACGCAGATAGAAAATGATCCCCAGGAGTTTGCGTTGTACTGCATTCACCAGAGTGGAGGTAAGGCTGAGCTGTTCAACCTGAGACCAATGAATAAATGAAAGAGTAAAGATGATCCAATGTCCTTGTTGCTTTTCCTAGAAAAAAAAAAGCTGAGTCACAGGGATCATCCACTGTGGGAACGAATCCTGCAGGGTCCCTCTGATGACATCATGAAGATCTTCCTGATGGACATGCATGAAGAAGAAGTCAGCAATGATGTGAGTTACAGCTACGGCCGATGAGGTTTTAATGGCGTTCATTTGTTAAATAAAACTTGTTTCATGACTGTGATCCACAGTTTGCTACCATCCATTTGCGTTATGAAAATTGTCTACAGGTTGTCAATTAGTTCAAGATTCTAGTTCTAAAATTTAATAACCCTTTAAGACAGGATATCCTTGCATTTTCTTTTCTGGTCAATAGATTTCCTAGGTGTTCCAAAAAATCTGAAGGGGAATTCTGTAGACAAAAGATACATTTATTAGCGCTAAAGAACAAACAAATTTGTTTTAACTTTCCTCTAGGACAAAGTAGTGGACATTTTCTAGACTACTGACAGTACAAAGCTTGCAAAACAGTTCCTCAAAGTACACCTTTGGGGTACAGATTTACTTCACTTTTTTTGCACTTTGTATATCAATTATTGTAGAATATTTTGTATTTTATTAAATATGAAAGCTGTGTTTGAGTGAAAGTCAGTCATATTATTCATAAAACACCAAGTTCCCTTTCTTGTGCTCAGGTTGCTCAGTATCTGAACTTGGAGCTACCCATCTTGGATCAGTTTCTGCTCAAACTCAGAGAGGAGGAAAACAGAGAGATTCAAAGGGTCATCAACAAGTGAGTGGGTGTTTTTATTCACAAAAAGGATTTTATGTTGCCACTGGGGTATTATCTTGAAAAATACTTAACTTTACAAGTGCTGTATCGACACTGCATTAATATTTTCAGTACGTTTATCACAGATGCTTAAAGATGTAGTAACACTTGTTGGCCTCTTGGTGGAGCCAGACATCATTTTAACTTGCATGTATTTTGATTCTCTTGATTTTTATTGATAACTTTCGTGGATTTGTGTTTGTGTCAGGTACCAACACCAGCACAGACTGCTGTCCCATATGCTGAGCTTTAAGATGTCCCCTCACATAGAGACCAGTGTCTGACCACTTCCGAACTCAGTGAAAGGAAGAAAAAGTATCTCTGAGGAACTAAAAACATCTGAAAAACTTTGTTTTTTTTTTCATAACATTTGGACAATGAAAAAGATTTTGGAAAATAAAATATAAAAAAAATAAATAAAAAAAAACATGTGATACAGAGGGAATTAAATTTACAGCTATTTTCCATAAAACATTTTTTTTAAGAAAAACTGTGAAGTATTCAGTTGCAAATTTTGGTGCCAATATGTTTATTTCTTAGACTTACTGAATTAAAAAAGTGACAAATATAAACTTTGGGTGTTGTTAGTACAGATTGCATACCACAAATTTATATCTGAATTGCTTAGTATGTATCAGAACAAATGAAGATTATGTGCCATAAAAATCTCATGAAAGATCTGTGTGGAATTTAAAAAGTTTCTCATCTCTGTGAGATAAAATAAAATATATGATTTATGTGATTATGTTTCACAAGCTTAGGGGCCTTTAAAAGTCAAACTGTAAAACAGGTAGAGTAAATAAATGCTGAAATGAGGAAAACATTGTCAATGTAAAACTGTTAGGCACAAAATGTCACAAATCTGTGTGTTTGGTGATTTGGACAGTCCAAAGTATTTTTACTTCCACAATGCCTTAACATTTTCATAGAGACTGAAGCACTTCCTTCTGTCTACATAGTTTATCGTACCCTTGCTTGAGTATTAACATCTGTGGAACATTTACAGGTTTAATTACATAACAGTAGCAAACTTCACTATGACGATGGAGGTTTAAGCAATGTATTCACAAAGTGGCAAAAGTGGAAAGATAAAGTGGAAAGACATTACAGTAACAAACTTCACTGTGACGATGGGAGTTTAAGCAATTTATTCACTAAGTGGCAAAAGTGGAAAGAAAGCAGATATGGTCTTCCAGAACGTTTGAAATAGAAATCTGAAAAGTATCCATTGAGCTGAGCTGTTTAGCAACAAAGAGAAACAATTTTAAAATTTCCAACCCGGACAACCTCCTGTTCTAACACAGTGAGGGTAATTTTCCCCTAACGTTGTAACCAAGACGACTTATGTTTAGTCACCATAAAATCAGATCGATATTTAAGCATGGAATCTGGAGCTCACTCTTCTGTCAGAAATGGAAAATACAGTGTGGCTTCACCCGGATAGGGTAGTATTAAAAGAGACACTACAATTGTACAAAAAAGTTACAAAAAACAGATAAAGCTTATACCAAAATTTATTTAATCCATTTTTGCCAACAATTATAAAAGATAAATGTATGACTTTTTGGTTGTTCTCCATCGAATGAGGTGCAACAGTTTTGGGGTTAAAGAAGTCTATGAAACGTTTTCCACCTTTTTCTCTCCAGAATAAGGCGTCATAGCTATTTTACAACCATCAAAGAACTTTGAGGTGACTCATTAAATGAATGTCCACAACATCTTTTAGATTTTTCTTTATGCTAAATATTTTATTAGTAAGACAATTTTGCAGCAGTCAGTACAGCTTAATGCAGTAGCAGAAATAATTAAATCAGAAAAATCAATCAACCTATCTATCCTATCTTTCCCTAATGCTGACACTGAAAACTAAATAGAGAACCTTTGAAAGATGGACGGTGTATGGAATTTCAAACTTCAGAACCAGCCTGATGAACGTGTTCCAGCAGGAGGAGACTCACAACGCTGATCGATGAGGGCAGGCGTCTCTGCATGGATGTGAGGTCACACTGGCCTTAGGTGCTGGCAGGAAGAGTACTGATGTAGAGCTGCAGGTCTTGGATCTTAGGGTGACTTTCTGTAGCGGTCCTCAGCTTCTTGTTTTGCAGATCTGAAGCCCCCTTCACCTTGTTTCAAGATCTTTTTCTGGTCCGCTGAGATGTAGGCGAGCTGACCGCACGGAAAGAAAGCCCCAGCTCCTCTTCTTTGCCTTTGGGGTCTGAATTTAGATAATGAGAGAAGTGCAATTTGAGGCCACGTGTTGTGGGGCTGACAGGTTGGTCCAGTCTTTCACTATCTGTGGTTCAGGATCTTCTTCAGCTGCAGAGTTCTTTGTCCATCTCAATTTTGGCTAAAATCTGCCTGGGGGATCCAACCAAAGGTTCCTCTTTTGCTTTCACCTTTTATAGGGTTTCTCCACCCTATAGATACACTTGCATTAGCTGTCACTGTTGATTATGGTTGTTTTATTGGCCGTCTGTTTGAATAGATGACCTCGTGTCCATCAATGTCTTAGAGACATTATGACCTGATCTCTGTGTTCATGTCCTGGTGTTGCTCAAATGTCTCCCTAAACTCTATACCTGCACAGTCTTGCAACAAACTGTTTCCAAATCATCAAACTCTGAGGTGTTGGTCATCTCTACTCACCTTCTAGTTCCTCTTTCCTCTAATCCTTTACCTACTATCTACCTCCAACACAACATCAGTGATCTCTGATTGCAGTTACATATTTTACATCATTTCAAGTTCATTATCAAAATCACATCTATAACCTCTTTAGCTTTAGATTTAGCAGTAATTTATAATATTATGATAATCATGCCTTATTAGTTACTCTTATAATAATCATAATGCGAGTAATTATAGGTGTTCTTCTGAAAAGAAAACGGGAATCATCCATTATTCTTATTGTTTAAAACCAAAGTTACAGTTGTTCATTCTTACAAGAGAAAACATTATCAATACAAGTATTTTGGTTTTAGTTTTAAAGACTTAATTCTTTAAAACTTTATTGTTTTGAAATAAGAAATAGTCTCAACTATTTCTATAATTCTTCAGGCTGGAAACTTACTTCCTTTTATCATGAAGACTGCTGTTCCTGTTTCATGGCTTTGCACCTCTTTCTCTCTCTCTGCCTGACTATGATTTCTAATGATTAAATTAAAAAAGAAATAGAATTTAAAAGTAAAGCTTGCATTAGACAAAACAAACACATAACCTCACTGATTTTATTGAAGTTTGATTTTACTTTTGGGTTTAGATGCTACTTTGTGTAATTCATTTTAAAGGTAACTTCATGTATTGTTACTGATAACCTAAAATCTCCAGCATGGAAATAATGGGATGATCTTTGGTTGTCTTGACATTGTAAAAAAGTATTAACCATTCTTTTTAAGTTTACTGCATTTCTTGGATTTCAGAGTGTGTATGCTGTTGCGGGGGTTCAAAATCACAATAAAGTGGCACAATAGTTGCTGTGAAAGAGAAGACAACAATAACTGTTGAATGAATATTTAAACTTTTCCTTAATAGTTGCATAGAGAACAGAGGGTGAAAAGATTTACCGTTTTGTCCAAAATGCAGCTTTTAATGTCATAGTTTTTCCACTTAGGACATTTGCTTGCTTTGACGATTGCATCGATTTGATACTTGATCTTACTGCTTTCCTGCAGAAAGATCCAGATAAAACAGTGATTAGAAGTATGTTTTGGTAGGGTACATTAATTTGTTTAAGAAAGATCAGTTCTACCTGTTTTTCAGCACTGGTAACTGAGACCAGCTTGAACAACATCCTGCCCTTTGCAATGTTGTTCATCCTTTCCACAGCATATTTAACGGCCTTGTTAACATCTTTTGACTCAGGAGATTTTTTAGACCAAGGCTCTAAAAGATGCACTTTTATCAGTAACAATGTAAACAAATATCACAGAATAGAGACAAAAACTGTCGAGCTTGAATCAGTTTGTAGGGCTAAAGAAAGGTCAAGAAAGAGTCTCATCATTCTGGCCCTTTTGACCAGCAGTGCAGTGGCTTTATCTCACATCACAGAACCTCTTTTACACAATGAAATAGGAAACTTAAAATGGTCACCTTACAGCAGGACAACAACCATCAACAAACAATCAGAGCTACAGGAGAATTGTAAACTTCCTAGTGGAGCGTATGTTTGGATCCTGTGAGTATTTTTCCATTTACCACTTCATTCATGTTGTGAACTCTGTCATGCATGTAACTGGTGTTGACATGATTATTTCAAAGTCACACAATTCTTGTTACTTCCACCTTATAAAGATGGAAGTATTTCAACCTTTAAGAAAATGCAACAGCTGTTGCATGTTCCATCCCCATCCAGTCCAAAACAAATTCTCGTGTCTAATGGGAATGTGAAGAACTGGGTGTTGATCACACCCAACTTTGTACATTTTATTCAGCCTCTTTGCTCAGTGGTCCCCAAACTACAGCCTGCGGGCCAGATCCGACCCACCTCCACATTTGGTCCGGCCCCCTGAACAACACCAGAGAGCATTTAGATTTTTTTATATATACCATATTTCCCGGACTATAAGCCGCTACTTTTTTCCTAAGCTTTGAACCTTGCATCTTATAGCCTGGTGCGGCTTATGTGTAGATTTTTCTTCAACCATCAGGGGGCTCTTTAGCAGGAAGTGAATCACTGGAAGTCAAAATTGGAAATAAAAGAAGAAAGCGCCCATTAAGACGGAATTAGGTTTTAATAGGGAATTGAAATTTGAGAATGTTGTTGATCAGTTAAATAGCATTGAGGGGAAAAAGAAGATTTTTCTTTTTTTTTTAAATAATACTGGGATCATTATGAGAATTTGAGGTATACACATTAGAATCCAATAGATGGAAGTAGTGCAACAATAATGAATGCAAGCTGCTGTTGAAATCTGAAGAAGACAAAGCGCCCATTTTCATTTAGCACATGCTAGAAGCAGACACGAAGGATCAGCACTTTTACTGTTGCAGTTACTGTTTGGAAACTACCGTAATCAGTTCAACTAAATGTAAACTTGGCAAATTTTTCTTTTTCAACCGTAATAAATGTGACAGTCAATTGACCTGTTATGACTCATATATTGGGTGTCCGCCCCCCTCTGCTGCTGCATCGTTGTGGAATTCCTGGAGCGGCAGAGATATCTGCGGTTTATAGTCCGGTGCAGCTTATATGTGTATGTTTACGTTTTTTTTTTTGTTTTTGTTTTTTTTTTAACTCTGGGATTGCAGCTTGTAGTGCGGAAAATACGGTATTTATTTCATAAATAGTGTTATTTCCTGACTTTGGTTCTGTGAAGAATCCTGAGGGGTTTATTTGATTGTGCTTTCTGGGAAATAAATTTTTACATTTAGGCACTCCTGCAATTGTCACACTTTTTCTGTTACAAACTGACTCCGGCCCCCCACCAGAGAAGGGAAAAGTTATGTGGCCCTCACAGGAAAAAGTTTGGGGAACCCTGTCTTTGCTGATCAGAACTTTGGAACAAAGAAGCAAACAGGGCTTTTCTTCAAGCTTTATTTTGGATTTGAATTTCATTAACTGCACACCTCATATATGATTCCATTAAGATAAAATCCAAAAGGAAATAAGACACGGTAAAAAAGAAGCCCTTTATAAATTCAATTTAACACAATAAAGTGGTGAGTCTTTTTTTTATCCAAAACTAACGTTTCCTCTGCCAAAATATAAAGCACTCTGACAATGATGAATTCATCTGACTTGTAGCTGAAGCAAAACGTCTGACTTGTACTTAATGATATTGCAGTGAGGAGTCATCAGCTGTGGAATAAATCCACAAACACACCACTTATTTGACCATAAAGTCTGCAAGCCACACAGTTATAGAACGTGTCCTTTCTTTTTGCAGAATCATCATCAATTGTTTTCAAATTTATAGACAATTTTGTTACCTATCTTACCATTTACTTAGATTCTCTGTTATCACTAAGGGGTTTCACAGGCTGATGGAAACAAACTAGCTTCTTTGTTATCTAATAGATTTTCTTAAAAAAAAAAAAAAAAGATTTAATATTTTAGCTCTTACATTTGACGATGTGTCAGAATGTTTACATGAAACCACAAAGTTGCACTTTGATGTTTGATTTGTTTCCTGACTGTTGGCCATGATTTTGTGTTCATG